CGCTCTGTCCCTCCTCTGCTCCAGCTACATGGGCCTCGCTGCTTTAGCTCGATCATACCAGGCATGCTCCTGCCCCAGGACCTTTGCACTGGTGGTGCTGTTTGTCTAGAATATTTTTTCTTAGAATCTGCAAGGTTCATTCCCTTTCCTCCTTTAGGTCCTCAGTCATGCTACCTTCTCAGTGAGCTTTTACCTAATGAAAATTGTAACCTGATCATCCCTTCTATCCCCCTTTCCTGCTTTATTTTTCTCCATTGCTCTCATCACCAGTTAACACATTATTTTCTTAATTTATTGTCTGTCTTCCTCCACTGCAATGTAAGCTCCATACAGGCAGGGAATTTTGTCTGTTTTCTTCATTACCGTATCCCCAGCACCTAGAACGTAGCAGGTGCTCAGTAGATATTTGTGGACTTAAATAAAATCTGACAATTCAGCACCTTTATTGTGTTGATAAAGAAGCTAAGGTCTAGAGAGAAGAATTGAGTTTTTCAGGGTATCCACCACAGTTAGGGTTAGAGTGTGGGAGGCATTGACATTCAATTTCGTGTTGATTTCACTACATGATATCTTGTGTTGAGCAGTTTTTATCACTGATAGCACATTCCATGTTTAAGACTCAGCACACCAAATAATAACAGTGAGAGAAGCAGAGAGACATAGAGAGCAAGAGAGGGAGAGCGAGATAGAACGATGGGAGTCTGACACGCATGCGTGCACATACGCAGGGTCAGGGAGGTAGGGAGAACTGAGACAGAACTGAGACAGTCTCTGTCCCCAGCTGGATTGATGCCTCCACCTGTTCCCCACTCAAGTTTACCCTCCAACCCTCCACTGTTGGGATTAATTTCCCCAAAACCAATTATTGGCCTATAACACCCTTGGTGGTTCCTTCGGAGCCATAGAACAAAACGTGAACGTCTTAGCTTGGCATACAAGCCACCACCTGCCTCCTCTTATTTTCCTCGACATAATGCCACAGGATTTTCCCTGACATCCCGACCCTCTTGCTGTAGTGTTCTATATTGCCTCTCCAGACTCTCTAGATCTTTCTGCATATTTGTCCATTTGCAGGTGTAGTTTACTGTGCCTAGAATTCCTTCTTTTCTTCTTCCTCTTGGAAAAGTACTCCGTATCTTCTGAGAGCCAGCTCAAAAATGCCCCCTTCTGTGGGACTGTCCCCTTCATTCCCAGCAGAGTTAGTGTTTCTGTCTCGTGCATGTCCGCAGCCATTGAGTCCTTTTCTGGGTGGGACCATTTACCGCAGTGTCGAATTTCCTATTCATTGTGGTGTCACCGTGTCCCTAGTGGCTGGCACGGCACCAGGGCCTAGAAGGTGCTAGAGGGTGTCCAAGATGTGTCAACTGAATGCAATAAGGCCAACTGCAGAAGCTTAGCTGAACTGGCTTTTATGATAAGTGATTATGGGCAGTAAAAGGTAGGAGGTTATTATATGTAGCTGGTTATACAGAATAAAGTTAGACTAGTGCTTACTTAAAGCTGTCTTTCATGACAACAAATAGTAAATTCTGGATTTGAGTCTCATGAAGTCAGTGTGCATTGGCAGTTTTTATTGGCAAAATTTTCATCATCTTTGCTTCTTTTTCCAATGACTATGGAAATTATGCATTTTTAGGTCCTTAACTCATTTAGTAAATATTTATTGAACACACATTCTTTAGCAGGTACTATTCTAAGGTCCAGGGACAATGAGGTAACAAGACAAATGCTACCGCTGCCATCGTAGAGCAAATGAGGGAGCAGGCAGTCCAATCTTAAAGCCAAATATTACACAAATAGTTAATATTTTACAATTATAATGACAGCTGATATTATATACATCAGTAGCTCTAAAAAGCATAGTAATATGTAGTATTTATTGAGCTCTTAATATGTATGAGTGAGTTACTATCCTAAGTTCTTTACATGTTGAATTTTATTACTTATTCTAAGCCTGAGTGTTGGATTCTATTATTTGCTTGTTTTGTTTTGCTTCCAGATAAAGAAGCTGGGGCACAGAGAGATTAAGTAACAGGGTCACAAGCCAGGAAAGGCAGAACTGGGGTTTAAGCTACTGTGCTATATTGTCGTTTAGTACTTGCGTAAGAAAACATATTTTCAAGTTCTAATGAAATCAGGCATGGAGTCTGGGTTAATTTACATGTTTTTTCCCACCTGATTAACACTATGACTACGAAGGGGCTACAGGGTGTGGAATGTCCCAGAAGGTAGCTCTTCTTTCTTTCTTTCATTTTCTCCAAGGAGTAGGAATAATAGTTGCTGGGCCGCCCACCCATAGACGTGCTGAAGCTTCTGGTTTCTGGGAATCTGTCCTGCTTACTTCACGGAGACAGCAAAGCCCTAGACAGTCATATTCAAATGATATCCACAGTGTGCTAGACATGTAACTCCAGGGTTGACTTTTTCACGTCAGTTTTTCCAAAACACAGCTTTTAATAACACCCATGCATTTCTAGTTTGTGAATAAATTAGAATGAAAATTCCTATCCTCTCTGGAAAACCTGCAGTCATTTCCTTTACTGTGCTGGCTACAGCTTATCTTTAAGTCATTACCAAACCTGTGGTTAGGTGGGTCTCCAGGGAGAAAGCTGCTGAGCCCTGGGGAAAGATGAAAGTGTAGGGGGAGAGCCGAGGGCATCAGCAAAAGGTGTTACGACAAACAGCTGCATAATGATCATTTCTTGACGCTGGGAAGTTTTGTTTCTCATGTCTGGCTTCGGGGTGTTCTCCGCTGTTTCTACGTCCCGCCCGCCCCCGTCTCTAATGTTTATGGAACAAAGAAATCATCTAAACTTCTGGTTTGGTCTCCTTCTTTGAAAGATGCAGCACAGTCTGTCTGTTGATGTCACTGGACTGGTAGTCACATGCTGTCTTCGGGAGTCAACTTTTTAGTACCGAGCAGTTTCAGATGGAAGAGGAACACACTCAGGTGTTCAAAACTTTTATATATTTGAGACTCATTTTCCAGAAGAGTGTATTTTCAAGTTCTTATAAAATTCAGACACTGAGTCTGGGTCAGTTTGAATATGTGCTTTACCTTGTACAATATCCTACACTGCTGGGTATTTAAATGAGTACATTAGGGTTTCTTTTTCTTTTTCTTTTCTTTTTTTTTGAGACAGAGTCTCACTCTGTTGCCCAGGCTAGACTGCCATGGCATCAGCCTAGCTCACAGCAACCTCAAATTCCTGGGCTCAAGTGATCCTCCTGCCTCAGCCTCCTGAGTAGCTGGTACTACAGGCACATGCCACTATGCCCGGCTAATTTTTTCTATATATTTTTAGTTGTCCAGTTAATTTCTTTTCTATTTTTAGTAGAGATGGGGTCTTGCTCTTGCTCAGGCTGGTCTCAAACTCCTGACCGTACCCGGCCACATCAGGTTTTTTTTTTTTTTAATATATATTTTTTTATTTCGGCATTTTTTTTAATAAATGTATTTTGTTCAGCATATTATGGGGATACAAATGTTAAGGTTACATAAATTGCCCTTGCCCCCCCCTCGAGTCAGAGCTTCAAGTTTGTCCATCCCCCAGATGGTGCACATCGCACTCATTGGCTATGTATATACCCATCCCCTCCCCACCTCCCACCTGCCTGACACTGGTTAAATGTTATTCCTAAAAAAAAAAAAAAAAATGTTATTCCTATATGTCCACTTAGGTGTTGATTCATTAATACCAATTTGCTGGTGAGTACATTTTGCTGGTGAGTACATGTGGTGTTTGTTTTTCCATTCTTGGGACACTTCACTTAGTAGAATGGGTTCCAGCTCTATCCAGGAAAATACAAGATGTGCTATATCACCATTGTTTCTTATAGCTAAATAGTACTCCATGGTATACATATACCACATTTTATTAATCCACTCATGTATTGATGGGCACTTGGGTTGTTTCCACATCTTTTGCAATTCTGAATTGTGCTGCTATAAACACTTGAGTGCAGGTGTCTTTTTTATAGGGTGTCTTTTGTTCTTTTGGGTAGATGCCCAGTAATGAGATTGCTGGATCAAATGGTAGGGTTTCTTAACCTTAGGTCTGTGCATGAACTTTAGGCTGTCTGAGTAATCACTAAAATTATAGGCAGAATTTTTTTTTTTTTTGAGACAGAGTCTCACTTTGTTGCCCAGGCTAGAGTGAGTGCCATGGCGTCAGCCTACTCACAGCAACCTCAAACTCCTGGGCTGAAGCAATCCTCCTGCCTCAGCCTCCCAAATAGCTGGGACTACAGGCATGCGCCACCATGCCCAGCTAATTTTTTCTATATATATTAGTTGGCCAATCAATTTCTTTATATTTATACTAGAGACAGGGTCTCGCTCTGGCTCAGGCGGGTTTCGAACTCCTGACTTCGAGCAATCCGCCCGCCTAGGCCTCCCAGAGGTGCTAGGATTACAGGCGTGAGCCACTGTGCCCAGCCGTAGGCAGAATTTTGTGTGTTATTTTCATCAACATTTTGGGGGAAGATGATTCATAGCTTTCATTAGATTGTCAAAAGAATGCTTGACTGCTGTGAAGGGTCTGTGTGGGAGAACACGCAGTGGGAAGGCCGGAGGCTTGGGTTCCTCAGCCTTCAGTACAACTAGAACTCGAAAAAAGCCATTCCTCTTCTGGGCACGAATCTCCTCACCCATAAGTGAAAAGCTTGAATTAAATCATTGTTTTTCCATAGTTTATTCATGTACATGATCATTTATGGACTGTCTTTATGATTATTGCCATATCTGATTACAAACTATATTATTTACTTGGTATTTTTTCTTTCACGTCCACACTTAAAAAATAAAATCTATTTTAAAAGGAATCTCGAGGATGTTAGTACTTTGAGATGGGAGTCTGTCAACCTCCTCATCTGCCACCAAATTAATAAACGCCTCTTTCCTTCTCCTCGAATGACTTGTGCTTGTTGTCCTGACGTGGCCTTGGGAACCCGTGTGAACTCTTGGGAACAGGACGTGGCGTCCCTGGGCGCGTTAGCACCCCGTGGAAAGGCGCCGTGACTGCTGGAAGAGGCAGGAGCAGCCCCGTGAGAAGTTGCGGACCTTTGCAGATACAAGCAACTGCTTCTCGAGGTGGGAAATCAGGGTCGGCCTCAGGCACGGCCGGGCCTGTGTCACCTCCGGCAACTTCCGGCTGTCTCCCGGAAGTGGACGCCACTCCGCGCAACCCGGACTGAGGGGAGAAGGAGGTGGGTCCGCGCAGTGTCTGGGTCCCGCCACGGTTCGAGCCCTGCGGCAGGGCGTTCGTGTTGAGGCACCTTTTGGGGGTTGAAGTCGTGAGGCTGAGCCGAACTAAGAACCCGGTTGGAATTCGGAGCCCACTCGGGGTTTCCAGAGGATGGGGGAGTAGGCCACCGCTCTGGGGAGGGTCTGAACCTTCCAGCCGCTTGGAGTGGCGTTCACCCCTTCGGATTCCAGTCACCGTCTCCGCTCGCGGTGGCGTTTGTTCTCTTCGGATTCCCATTTCTTTGCTAGGCCCTGGCAGTTTTGCGTGGGCATCCCCTGTATCGTCCGTCTGTGATTTGTGCGTTTTGTCGCGGCATGAGGAAGCTCCACGTCCAAGTCCGTTGGGAAAACACGCTGGCTGAACGGTAGCTCAGTGAAGCGAAGGCCGGCGTAGGCGCGGGCTGTTCGATGCGGATCTCTTGACTGACAGGCCGGGGAGTTTTAGATCGCTTGCGTTGGCGAATTCCCTGTATTGCCTGTGTTCGGTTGTTGTGAGTTTTCGTACCGCTTGTCTAGTTAGTTTTTTGTGTTGTGGCGCTGCTCGTGTGGCGTGTGAGGAAAAGTAGTGGTCGATGGTCCTTGGTTTTATCCGGAGCTGTTGGTTCTTGTAAAATTCAGAGTTCAAGTGGTTGACCCGCCACTGTAGAGGTAAAATGCTGGGTCTCAAGCCCCCTGCTTATCTCTGCTTGAGAAAAACTCACTGTTTATGGCATATAAAATGCTTTATGTTTGGATGTTTTTTCTTTTTCTTTTTTTTGCCGTACTGCTGGTAGAAGTATGGATGATTTTTGGTGAATGAGGTTCCCCTGGAACCTTTGCCCCACTGGAACTCCTGCAGCCTGCCAGGGCGAGGGACTGGGCGAGGCCACAGCCTGGGGCAGACCTGGCGCCCGGCAGGAGGGAGGCCGGCAGGAGGGAGGCCGGCAGGAGGGAGGCCCGGTGCACACGGCTAGGAGCAGCCTTCTTGGCCCGCGGCCTTGGCCAGGGAGGACAGCCCTGAACCCACTCTTCAGTCCCATGCCCAGAAAATTGTGACTTGGGGCTCGGAATGGCCCTTCCCAGCAGCAAACTCAGCTTGGCCCCGTGGGAACCTTGGCTGTCGCAGGGCAGTTTGTGGCACTATCAGATGGAGGACTTGCACGCGCAGCGGCAGGCTCCTCTGAGGCAGCCAAAAGGAAAGGGCAAGAAAGCTGCCCCTGACTGACTTTTTGCGAAGAAGAAGGACCTTGAAAGCAACATTGCCCACATTGTCAAGGACTGCGGGTGGCAGGAAGCCTCCAGGAAAGCAAATAGTTTAAGTCCAGGATTCAGACGGTGAAGGAGAGGACCAGGAACGCCCTGCCTCTAAATATTCCCACAGGAGCCCTGGGCAAAATGGACAGGGATTCGATTGGCACTAGCCGCATGAACAGGAGCGGTCTGAGGGACCCCTTCCCTGGCTGCCACCCCGACCCTTGCACCAGCCATGCCTGGTGCTCTGCCAGCCAGACAAGGAGTGGCGGGGGGGGAGGGGTCAGGTAGCAGTGACTCAGCCTAGACAAGTGGCAGCTGAGAAACTTGTCACAGCAGGCCCAGGAGGGGAAACCCGGCAAGTAGCAGAAGTGCCCACAGGGGTTGCTTCCGAAGCAGCAGAAACTCACCTCTGGGGGGAGGGGGATGGCTGCCAAGCTCTTGCTGGATGAATACCAGGGCCTGGTGACATGTACAGGAGACTGTCCTTGCACTTTGAAGTTCGGTCCTCAGCAAGCCTGCACATTATTACAGCATTGGAAAGATGAAAGCTACCAAGAGTGAGTAAGGATATTAAGTATGCCACTAAAATAATGGCCCATTAGTAGGCCATGACCGAGCCCAAGTGGGTGGCCAGCGTGACTAAAAGGAATCAGGCCCCTGGCAGAGCTGCTAAGGAGGCCGCTGGAGTGATCTGTTCCTCAGGGCCTTAACACCCTAGCTAGATTTAGATCCCCATCAAAACTAAAGACTACTGGGAATCTGACATTTGGAATGGCACAGCTAAATGGAGACAATTCTCATAGACTTATCTCCTACCCAAAGTTTTGGTTCAGCCTCTTATGAGGCACCTACATAAATACACACATTGGGAGAGTGATGCCTCGATGGATTTGGTGGGACCTCATTTGAGAGGACCCTGTTTGCAACTGTTCATGTACTTGGGAAGTCCAAGGACACAAAGGTGACCTCCTTCGCAGGGTGGCCACCATGTGGGGGTCCTCCTTTTTGATGATTGGCAGTTTCACTCGGATGCCTAGGCTTGTATCGGTAGATACCTTTTCAGGCTGGATAGAGATTTGTCCTCCCCGAATGGAGAGAATGTTTGAGGTTCTAAGATGGGCTCCTACCAGGAGCTGCTGGCCTGAGACAGGGCCTTCGCTGAGTTCCTGCACACGCACACCAGCACAGAGCAGGCACAGGCCTTGGAGGACGACAGGATGATGGTCGTCAGCAGTCCAGGAAACGAGTCTGAGCAGGTAGAGAATAGCATGCTGGTAATGGCCGGACGCTGTGGACTGACAGCGACAGAGACAGCTCAGTAGCTCCTCCTCCACCTGACCAAGCCCTGGGCGTTTCACAAGAGTGACAGTGAACCCTCCTTTTTAGTGGAGGTTACCCAGCAAGTAAGCAAAGCTCTACAGCTAGAGAGGCGGTTGCTGCCTGTCCTCCTCTGGATAAGGGTGGCCCTCTAGCAATGAGCTTAAGTTAAGACCCTAAGAAGTAGTTTATGAGAGACCCTTCCTAGCATCCCGAGGTAAGTACAGTAACAGAACCATGAATAACAAATAGTAAAATAAAGCAATATGTCAAAGGAGTGGGTCAGGTGCTAACCATTATGCATGAGTTTGCCCCATTGAGGTCCCTTCCTCCATGAGAAACAAAGAAGTGGAAGGGACCCTACGACGTGCCTCTAACAGCTCAGACCTTATTAACATGGTCAGAAGTGAAAGCTTGCATCCATCACACCAAAGATAGAGGGATGACTCCTTAGTGAGGGTTTCCCCAGGCTATTGCTGTTTCTACTGATCTGTCTTGCTGTTGCGTGTCATCCTAAACCTCGTTTGGTACAAGTATTTCTGTACATGAGTTCTGAATTTGCAGAAGCCAGTCTCTCAGATCACCCATAGGGTGCAACTATAGCTCTGCACTCAGAAGTCTCATGATTCTTTGCTAACCCACCCCTGTATTGGACATTGTGTACAAGATAGTCCATTTCACCTGTCAGTCCTCAAAGCTGTAGTTATTGCTAGTTCCCCTTTTCAACTGATAATCTGTACCTTCCACCTAAAATGTCACCCCAGTTCAGCAGGAAGTAGCTTGATGAATGTCACCCATCCTCCCATAGATCTGGAAGGTACAATCGATGGTGGAGAATATGTAACAGAAAATGACCTGAAAAAGGGTACAAATGTTTTCTGTCTCTTCAAAACCCCCTCACCCTTTTTGAGAACTGAAACTTACATCCCTGCCTGAGGCCAGTGGTCAGGAGGGGCAGGAGAATGTCCTTTGTTCCTTGTGCCACAGGAGATGGCTCAAGGGAATTGTTTGGGTGGGGGTCACAAGATTGTCTTAGCTGAAGATGGGATTAATCGGAGGTCATGAGATTGTCTTAGCCAAAGATAGGATTAATTAGAACCTTTGAAAATTCTGTACTTCTGCTCAGAAACAGGAATTTGGTAGTTTGAGATGGGATTCTGCCAACTTCCTCATTTGCCAGCAAATTAATAAACTCCTCTTTCCTTCTCCAAAAAAAATAATTTATTTTGTGCATCTGTAAGTGGAAAACCAGCATCACTTGTAAAAATAAAAAAATAGGTTATTCATGTACTACATAAAGATTGTTATCTTTACACCAACAATAGGTATGCCACACCTGACACAGTGGTATAATGGATACACAGTCGCCCCTTAGTATCCATGGAGATTGGTTCTAGGACCCCCTTGGGATACCAAAATCCAAGGATGCTCAAGTCCTTTACATAAAATGGCATAATATCTGCCTGTCATCTATGCACCTCCTCCTGAGCACTTTAAATTATCTCTAGATTACTTGTAATACTTAATACAATGTAAATGCCATGTAGCCAGTTTTTATACCATATTGTTTAGGAAATAATGAACAAAAAGTAGGTACGCATTCAATACAAATGTAACCACCATAGGCTTAACTACATTTTCCATCTGCAGTTGGTTGAATCCATAGTTGCAGAACCCAACAACATGAAGGGATGACTGTATTATTTTTGCCACTCCAGATTCACTGTCCACTATTCTCCACCCAGAAGAACCCAGGAAACACTTCCTTCAATAAGGTGTTATCTACCTGTAGACCAGATATGATAATGAGGAATGCTGCTTTGGAATACCAATGGGAAAAATAGGAGCCTGAAATAGTAGAGTCCAGGTGGTGATGCTTATCTCTCATAGACCAGGAGTGTGCAGGGACCACAGTGGGCCATAGGATGGAAGGCTAATCGGTGTGCTTTGACCAATAGGATTCTGTGGAGATGGCTAGATGATCATGGGTCTGTAGAAAAACATCAATGGACATTCTTTTAAGGTGCTGCTTAACACAAAAAGACAAAATAATTCCAGGTTCACTGACCCTAACTCAGATCACTGTAGTGGGATTCATAGTTTCTTATCTATTTCCCAGGACTACAGCCCCTTAATGAGGTGAGATCAGGTCCCTGTGAGAAAGGACCCTGCAATGTTGCCAAATTGTAACCATGTAAGTTTTGCTAAGGCTCCTCCAGGGAGTCTTGAAGCAATTTACTAGGGAGACTGTATGGTGGGGTGGGAGAATGAAAATATCCAGACTTTCTGGAGATTATTAGATAGTGGTTCTGAACATTAAAAGCCTTTATAGTTTACTGATTAAAACTTGTAGGCCAGGCGCGGTGGCTCACGCCTGTAATCCTAGCTCTCTGGGAGGCCGAGGCGGGTGGATCGCTCAAGGTCAGGAGTTTGAAACCAGCCTGAGCAAGAGTGAGACCCCATATCTACTATAAATAGAAAGAAATTAATTGGACAACTAATATATACATAGAAAAAGTTAGCCGGGCATGGTGGTGCATGCCTGTAGTCCCAGCTACTTGGCAGGCTGAGACAGAAGGATTGCTTGAGCCCAGGAGTCTGAGATTGCTGTGAGCTAGGCTGACGCCACGGCACTCACTCTAGCCTGGGCAACAAAGCGAGACTCTGTCTCAAAAAAAACAAAAACAAAAACAAAACAAAACTTGTAGAAGCCAGATGATAGGTTGAATCTTGGTCCACATCCAAGTAATAGTGTGTCCAGTGGATCTATCAAGTGATTATTCCACCAGTTCCAGAATATATGGTAGGAATAGGTATATCTAGGAACTGGAAGAATCCCATAGTGATTCCTACACCAGTGGAAGGAAGCTCCTAGAACTGTATTCCTTCTTCCTAACAAAATACTAAATCTTGTAGAAAGAATTGTAGAGATTAGTGTTACTGTTGGAAGCTTGAGAGATACAGGGAAGATGTTTGGCTGTATGGGTCATGGGAAATTACAGTGGATTTTTGCAAACTCAGTCAGGTGGTGATACCAGTTGCAGATGTATTTCCAGATGTGGTAACTTTATTGGAGCAGATCAGTATAGCCCATGGCACCTAGTATGTATCTGTTAATCTGGCAGAGGCTTTCCTTCCAATCCAAGCAGTAAGAAACATGAGAAGCAGTTTGCTTTTCAAAGAAATGGACAATATACATTTATACTCTCTTGCTCTAGAACTATGTGAACTCCCCTGCAATCTGTAATATATAGTCCTGAGGAACCTTGATCATCTTTATATCCTATAGGACATGATGCCTGTCCGAGAAATTGACCACACAATGCAACAGGATTTGATTAACATGTAGTAGCAAGCCAGAGGATGGAAAATAAATGCTGCAAAGGTTCATGGGGCTGATGACATTTCTAGGGGTCTAGTAGTCTAAGGCATGTTGTGAGAGCTAAAGTTGTTGGCAAATTGTTGCATCTTGCACCGCCCTACAAGGAGAAAGAAGCACAATGGTTGTTGGACTTCTTTGTGTATTGAAAGCAACATATACCACATATCGTATAACCTGAAAGGCTGATGGTTTTGTGTGGGACTTAGCACATGAAAGAGGTCCATGCTGTAATGTAAGCTTCCCTGTCACTTTGGCATTATGACTCAGAAGACTCGATGTTCTGGAAGTATTTGTAGTTGTATGTGACCTGAGGCAAGCCCTGGTAGGAGAATAATAGCACAGAACCTTAGGGCTTTTTTGGTGAAAAGTAGTTCTTGCCTCACTCCTGGGCCCTTATAGAGACAATATTCCTGACCATGGGATGCCAAGTGATTATGTTATTTGAGTTGCTGATCTTGGGCTAGGTGATACATCATTCACTGAATCATAAATTGAACACAGGCAGAAGAATTTCATTGTAAACGGAAATAGGCATGACACCAGGCTTCAGCAGGTCTGGAGGGCTCAAGTAAATTGCACAAGCAAGTGGCTCAGACTTCCACACATTTCCTTTTGACAACTTTATTATTTTTAAAAATTTATTATTTTTAATTTCTTTCTTCTTCTTTTTATTTTATTTTATTTTTTTTACCCAACATAAACTTTGACTAACTTTTGACAACTTTAATGCTTTTCTGTCAATCCACAAGTTTGACTTCAAGGGGAGTTCCTTATGACTAGAATAATCAGATGTCCAGGTTTGCCTTCGATAGTAGTGGTTCATACTTGTTGTCTAACTTACTCGTTAATGTTGACAACTCCCTTTCATTGTTAAGGGTGTCCCAGTTTGGGAGATCAATTATATGGCAACTCTGTTTATGACCAATTAATAGAGAGGAAAGAGTGTGTGTCTGGCTCATGGATTTCTGTGCGGTGTTCTGGCATCAGCTGGAAGTGGACAGTCCATGCACTACAACCCCACTCAGTGGGCAGAACTTTAAATTGCATTTCTGGTGTCTATTTTGTGTGAAAGGAAAGATGCCCTAAGATACAGATCTATACTCCTCAGGGTTAGCACCAGACTGGTCACCTGGTCAGGGACTTGGAGAGAATAAAACTGGAAGATTGGTGATAAGGATAAAGAAGACAAGTTATGGGGACAGCCCTCTCTATGGGACGTAGTGTGAAGATACCTGTTTCTCATGTAAACGCCTGGGAAACCAAAGTGGAGGAAATTCTCAATAATCAAGATGGCCCCTTCTGAGAGTGACATTTAGCCTCTTTCCCTGGCTACTATGGTGTTTGCCCAGAGGGTCAGTGTTTGAAGTGACGATGGTGGCAGGGGTAGATGTTTTTCAAGGACTCAACAACATAGCACGCTCCCTCATCAAAGTTGGTCTAGCTATTACTACCATTAAGTGCCCAGCTGCCAATAACAGAGGCCAGCTTTGAGCCCCTGATATGACAGCACTCACCAGGGAAACCAGCACATGTGGGCTCACAGATGCGTGCTCTGAATTACAAAGAAGGACCCTACGGGCAATGGAGTGCAAATGGAAAAGCACAAATTCGTCAGATAACAGGAACAATTCCATTCTTCCACTGTGACTGCTGCTGTTTTGCTGAGTTCTCTTTATGAAAAGGATCAGTTGAAAAAGAAGGAAAGTACCATGATTGAGCAGTTTCATCTGTGTACTTTAACTCATTCAGTTCTCACAGCCCTGGGTGCTAGGTGGTAGCCCTGTTATAGAAATGAAAACACAGGTGCAGAGAGATTAAGTTTCATATCTGAAGTCCCATAGATGATAAGAGGCGATGCTAGGTTTGAGCCCAGATCTTCCTGCATGTCTTGGACCATACTGCTCTTTAGGAGACTGTCTGGGATGTGAAGCAGGGTCTTGTCAGGTATCTGCTGGCTACTGTGGAGGTCATTCTTCTACCCTTAGACCTTTACCAGAGCCACTGGGGAGGCTGAATTTTTATCTTCCATATGTCTCTTTCAGCTCTAGTCTATGAAGTGAGCATGAGCAGAGAACCCAGCCTGAAGAGAGGGAGGCAATAGATGGTGACCACATGCTCCTGCTAAGGCTCCTGGAGTATCCCAGGTGAGGAGGCATCTCAGGACTCTTTTCTCCTGGACTGCATCTGTGGACTCTCCATCAGGACATGGAAGGGAGTCTCAGTTTCATGGAATCTAAGACCTGGGCTGGGCAACTTAACAGAAGGTGGGGAGAGTGGGGTAGGGGGCCACTTTTTAGGGGTGACAAACTCTGGGCTTGGGACCTCTTGATTTAGGCATATAGCCCTGACTGACACACTTAGCCTTGGTGACAAGCAAGGGTCATTCTTTGGAGGCTCTTTTTCCATGTTATATTTCATAGGAATGAGCTGATTCACACATGGTACCCACAAGACTCTTCTTGCGTTTCTTACCCTTGGAGGCCTCACTTGGCAGATGTCGTAGATACTGTTTTCTGAGAAACTTGTCCCACCCAGCCCCTGTAGTGCCCCTTAGGGTGGGCTAGGGGCCTCTTCTCTGGGGTCCGGGGGCACCCTAAGCTTGGCCTTCTCATAGCACTTTCCACATGTGCTGTAGGGTTGAGTGTATCTATTATATGTGGCAATATTGTTGTTGGGATAATATTTGTGAAGTAATTGAGCTTGGCCTAGGGTTTTGTTAATCTAGTGATTGTCTAGTGATTGTCATGCCCATTGTAAGCTTTGAAGGAGGGGACTGTGACCCTTTTGTCTTGCACAGTGTCTAGGATATGGATAGATATTTAATACACTTCTGATGAAAGAATGAATGAATTGAATAAAACAAGTTAAAGTGTAGCAAAAGTAGGGGATGAGTATGCTTTTCTTAATGACCTAAATATATATAAATAATAAGCATACAATTTCTGATATTGTCAGTGAGAAAAATTCTTTATTTAAAATAGGCTAAGTGGGTTTTTTTTTCCTAGATTAAATAAAATACTCTACAAATGAGAATTTAAAATGCAAAATACCAAACCCAATAATACTAGTCAGGAGTTCTTCACCAATCCCCACGTAGGAAAGTTTCAATGAATTAGCTTAGAATTCTGAGAATATGTGCCTTTCTTTGCTTAGAGAAAAAAAGCAGTGCCACATTTCCTGGATATAATAATGTCATGCTAGTCAGAGAAATTCTATAATTCTTAAGACAGTAAGAAACAGTGATTATCCAATGCTGAGACTCTTAGACTCGCTCTGATGTTATTAATAGTATTTCTAAATCACAGAGACAGTTGACACATTTTATTTCAGTAGGATATTGGAAGCAAGAAGGGGACCTACACTATTTCTAGCCACTTGTATTTATTAATACATGCTTAGTGCTTTCAATGCCTTTGCTGCAGAAGGGTAATAAGTGTTTTGGCAAAAAGGTACACTATGGGGACAAAGCCGGGAAGCTTGTGCCTACAGAAGGTGGCTGACAGCTCCAGGCTGTCAGGGCTCTTGGAAATGCCACGCATCGTGCACAATCTGGGGCTGCTGGGCCTTGTCCCCCGGCACGGATGTTTCCAGAGGGTCTGGGGTCATCGTGGTGTCTGTGACTGCTTCCAGGGGTGTGGTCATGTCAGCACCGTAGGTCTCGTAAACATCGGCTAATTCAGGCGTCATCAGTGGGTCAGCGGCTGCTGGGGTGACACTGGGAGGTCCCATCCTCTGCCCTGCGGGGCCCCTTGCCAGGCTGGGGTCAATGTCCTCAGGGAAAGCCAGGAGCCCTGTGTGGGCGTCAGGTGCCAGCTCTGGAAGGAGAGCTGGGTTTTCCGGGTTGGCTGGGTTGGCTTCCAGGATGGGGGAGTCTTGTGCACCCCCCTCACCCTTCTCAGGGCCTTTGGTTGCTGCAGCCAGTGGGGAGTCAAATTCCAGAGTGAAGTCCCCTCCCATGCCTGGATTGTGGGGCAGTCCCCCAAAGCTGGGCCTCATGGCTCCGAATCCTGGGAACATGGCTCCGTAGGCCATGGGGCCTCCTCTCCCTCCCTGGGGGAGAAAAACATTCATCAAAGACACAATTATCACATGCTGTTAATAACCACACCGTGCAATTATACCTGGTCATACTCCCTGGGGATCCATAAAATACTGATAGAGAATAGGGATTGGCTGGCAGGTTTATGGAAGCACATTTCTCCCTAAACTGGCTTTGAACACGCTGGAGAGGATTCTGTACCCTCTGGGCAGGTGAAGACCACTCCGTGAAAGGGGGGTAGAGACTCTTCTGGAGGGGCGGGGCAGGGGGCAGCCGGGCAGAAGAAACACCTGAGTCAAAATGACTTTGACTTTAATTTTAAGAAAACAATAAGCAGTTGAAATGAGCACTCTCATAATAAAACCAACCCAAACTGAAATCCATAATCGCGTTTGTTGAGACATGTTTTGGAGGATCTCGTGAATGGCATTTTTCAATGTCCCCCAAATGAATAAAACTCCACACAAGTATTTTTTTTGTTTTCTTAAAGCACAAGAAGTAGGAAACAGTTTGATTTGTCTGGAGGAACTAAAACAAAATGGGCAGATAGAATTCCAGAACTATTTTTTTTTCTTCCTTTGTTGCCAGGAATATAAGGACCAAAATCTTAGGCTATTTGTAGCAAGTGAGCAGGTGTGTGATTTGCATATCCGTATTCTGATTTTCACATAATTTTGACTCATTTGAAATCTTACCCTTAGTTTTTTGGTTATATTTATTGTGTCTTTTTTTCCTGTAAACTACCACAAAATCTTTTGGGAATAAGGCAGAATATAAATAACTTAATATAATAAGATGGTAATGGACACTTAATTGAATTTTGAATTTTCAGCCAGTTCTGTTGGAACTGGAAAGATAAAACATTCTTTCCTTCTACCTTCTCCTGGCTTTTCTAAGTCTCAGCTTTCCCATCATCTCCTCCAGGCATGGCACTGTGCATTCTAGGGCTGGACTAACTGCCGTTGCTCTCCTCTTTCCCCCTAATAAAACTGTTTCTATCACTATCCCATAATTTTGACATTATCCACCCATTCATTAGACTGTAAGGTCCTTGAGAACAGAGATCTTATCTTGTCAATAGTATCTTCTGGCATACAGAAGGTGTTCAAAAATGTTGAGATGTGAGTTTTCTTTCACTGATAGTATGTGTGCATATTTATTAATCTGATGGAATCTGTAGTTGATAATGATTTGTTAATTCAGTATGGCTTTTGTTTTGTCTTGCTTTGTACTCTAACAGATGTAACAGGTAGAAATTTCCGAGGGAAAAAGTCAAATTGTGTGAGTCTATTTATTGATCTCAAATCTTAAATGTGTAACATGCATGGACGATGATAACAGAATAAGAATATACTCTCACTGACTCAATGCACTTTGAAGTTTATAATAATCAGATTTTACATTTGGTTAATTTTCTTTTTGACCTTCCAATTTTGAGGTTTGAATTACTTGCAGTGCTGTTGAATTTGGTGTTTGGGGGGTTAAATGGTCCTACAGGGAATGGGAACTCTGTGTGAGCTACACACAGCTTTTTTGGTTTGAAGTGTTTGTAGTTCAATGTTGATGGTATTTCAGGAAAGGTTTCTCTATTGTTCCTATGCCAGGAATGGGGTAAAACCCTGTGCTTAAGAATGACCATCATTCAGAAATGAATGATTATGTACGAAACATGATGGAATCTTTGCATACTGCTTTGGAATCAAGTTTTGATTTTGGAGTGGAAAAATCTGAGCTTGGGAGTAGAAAAGTCATGCTCATTTGGCTGTATTCATGACCAGTCATCTTGCACCAGTCATCTGTGACTGTTCTTTTTTTTTTTGAGACAGAGTCTTACTTTGTTGCTCAGGCTAGAGTGCTGTGGCATCAGCCTAGCTCACAGCAACCTCAAACTCCTGGGCTCAAGTGATCCTCCTGCCTCAGCCTCCCAAGTAGCTGGGACTACGGGCATGCGCCACCATGCCTGGCTAATTTTTTCTATTTTTAATTGTTTGGCTAATTTGTTTCTATTTATAGTAGAGATGGGGTCTCGCTCTTGCTAAGGCTGGTCTTGAACTCCTGAGCTCAAGCAATCCTCCTGCCTTGGCCTCCCAGAGTTCTAGGATTACAGGTGTGAGCCACCGCACCTGGCCTGTCTTCCTCTCTTTAAAAAGGCCGGTAATACCTATTTTTATAAGATTGTAGTCAGGATGATATGGGGGAATGTTAAATGCCTGCAGTATGCTAGTTCATTTTCTGTCCACTGCATTTTTCTCAGTGTTATTACAAGGTACTTTTGCATGGCTGTTGTTTCTCTGTCAGCTGGACAACAATGCAAAATCCTACTTGTTATGCTGAGGGATCAATCACTCTTCTCAAGCTTTCCAGCACTGAAAAAGACCAGTGATAGGAAGCCTAGACTTTTCTGGGCTGTTCTGTTTCCTCTGGACGCTATTATCTTTTAAATGAAGAAACCAAGTTTTACAGGCACAGGGTCTTTTAGAATCCATGCCCTGTCTCTGATGGCAAAGGACAGCAACGGATATTTATGTTTTATTAAAAAAATAAGTCTCAGATATGGAAGATTGATAAAGAACGTGTTTGTATTTTTGTGCATTATGCCTGAGGGCTATTATAATTTAAAAGCACCCTGAAAATTGTTTTTTTTTTTTATTAGGTTAGAGAGTGATGCTGATCTGACTTGAGAGCAAGGAAGTACCTCGGGCTTTGGTGGCTTGTCTGAAGGTGCCGCTGGCTGCTGAATCGCAGGCAGTTCTCCTTCCTGCAAGGGCAGCTGTCCCAGGTGGGCTGGAGGCTGAGGCCCTCCCTTCTGCTCTGTGGCCTGGATAGCGTTGGCAGCAGTGGGCTGGAGGAAAGGTTTTAGTCCTGCCTGCTGAGGTTGCAGGGATGGCTGTGATGGGAGAGGTGGGGGATGCACAGGCAAAGAATATTCATACTGCAGAGAGATTTGAAGAGAGTATCAGGAAAGAATGGCTCATTAAGCTGTGGTGTCTAGAATTTCTAAAGCAAAAGGGCTTGGGGTGCTTTCTGTCTGGAAAGGAGGCTGGAGCACTTGTCTCAAGGCTCTGTTTACATGGGAAATACCGATTTACTTACAGTCAATGTTATCTGGGAGGTCTTGCTTGTGCCTGCCTCCCCTACCTCCTTTGGGACCAGCATTGTTCATGAAGATGGGCTACCTGAACTTTCTGGTAGAACAAGTCTCTTTCTCCTCTGGGTTCCCATAGCTGCCTGCAAATATCTTTATTTTGCCACGTTTCCACTGAATTATAATTATTTGTTACAAATCTTTGTCCCCTAGTTGATGGATGCTATATCTTATTTATCTTTATAGCTTCTGTACTTAAGTATATAACTTCTAATAAGTACCTAGCACATGATGAGTACTTAATATATTTCTTGAGTTAATGAAAAGATAAATGGTAATTAAATAAACTGACAAAATTCTTGCATGATAGAGTCCATTTTGGAAACAATCAAGTGAAGAAATAGTCACCATTATTTATGGTCCACTAAATGTGGCCTGGTAGGTAATGCTATTGCCACGGAAGGCCATATGGCATTAGAATTTCCTGGTAAAGCCTACACATTTTATATCTTCTTTTAAAAGTTACTTGTGGTAAATGGGTCCTTATTGCTTGTGGATTGGTTGCAAACTGCCCAAACTAGCCAGGAAGTCTCACAGTCATTTGTCTCTGCTTCAGCTCTTCAACCACTGCCCATTGCCAAACACCTATGACCTTTGTTCCTTATACCTCACACGTCAGCACCTTGACATATGGTGTCTTGTCGTATCTGAGCCAGAGGAGATCTGAAACTTCATGCTCCTTGGAGCCATTTTCCAATGTCTTCACTTAACACAATTTGGTTTATATATTTATTAGGTACCTAATAAATAACAGTTAACAGATTGATGTATTTATTGACTTCTGTAGGGTTCTTGATGTTATAACTGGGATGTCTGTCATCATTTGAAATTGGTCTTTGAATAATTATTTAGGAAATCTGGATTAAAATGAAAATTATCCAGGATATAGCTTGCTTCCATTTTTGGGAATTGATTACCTATTGTTATTGCTGATATCTTTAATATAGGTGTCTATATTTTGCAGGCTATCTCTTGCTTCCTATTTGAAATAAATATACAAATGGGTTGATAATTTTAAAGATTTTACTAAGTATTGAAAGCAAATATAGGCTTTGGTTTATTTGGTATGAGGATAATTTTTTGTTAATTGCTTATACTTGTCTATTACTAATATATTCCAATTTAGAGAAGGCAAATAGGGAAAGATTGTAGAGTCTGAAGTTTCAAAGACGTTGGTGCAATGATGCGATTCACTTACTTGTTGAGTTTCATGTTCCCTTGGTCTCATCCATGGGAAAGAGGAATGCTGCGGGAGGAGACCATTCATCCACAACGAATTAAATGATTTCCCAAAGCCAAATCTAGAAAACTAAAGACATGGAGGAAAAAAAAGACATGTCATGTCTTAACATTGGATCAAACTTGGCTTTCATTTTCTAAAAAATCCACAGATAGGGTAGAGATTGCAAAGCAAAAGCTATGTTAGTTAATTTAAAATGGATAGGTAAACACACTCTGCCTTCCAACAGACTTCAATTCCATTCTAAACCAGACTGCAGTATTCCCATAAACTTGTCTGAGATTTAGCTCTTCAAGCGCTTGTGTTTTGGATTATATAATTAAATTGATAATGCAAGAAAGGATTTCTTTTTCACTAAAGAAAATTCAATATAAGTTTAATTTTTTCCCTTTCACCCTATCTTATATTGTTTTAGGCTATCTCAATTACTTATTTGTTCTTCCGATATTTACAATATAGCCTATTCACAAACAAATTTTATGAATTACAATGCTGCTACTAATATTACCACCACTACCACCATTAATACTTGCAATAAGAAATATTTTGAGAATATGAGTACCTGAGAAAGTGTGTTCAATCCCTGCAGACTTCCCAACTGTCTCATTGTCTATCAAGAAAAAAAGTTGATTAATGCTTATCACAGATATTCCTTTTGACACAACTGATTTCTTATAACATGTGACATTAAATCAAAGTTTGGGGTGGATCAATTTGAATAAAAACAGTGGTAGACACAAATCCTCTCTGAAAGATGTAAATGTTAAATGTGGGTCTATTGTTACTATTGGTACTAAAATAATGATGTTGTTTTTTTATTTAATTAACAAAGAAAAAGTATTATTTAAGTAGTGGTTACATTGAAACATGGGAAAATAGCTTATTCAACTGAAATATAAATGTATTTGTTAGGATATTGCTCTGTTGACTCTCTTCTCCCCACTTAACTTACTTTGCCTTTTATAAATTCAGCTCAAAGAATTTGAAAAAACAGACAAACAAAAGAAAAACAACTCTCACCTCCTTCCCAAACAAAAATTCCCTCAAAATAATAAGTAAACAAAATTGGCAGAAATTTTAAGTATCTGGATAGATTATCGAGAATGCCACCATTTCAACAGAAATACAATTTCAGTTTTTTAATGAAAAGAGATTTTGAGTGCTTTGGATTGAATTTAAAGTAGAAAGTGAGAAAAAAAAACAACAAAACCCAAACCAACAACTCCATGAAATTAGCTTCCATGTGACATAAGCATCTAAGCATTGATTACTCTTAGATTATCATGATACCAGGAAAATTCGAAAGACCTTTTGTAATTTTTAATCTGTAATTTATAATCTCATAAATTTCTTTCGCTCTATAATTGTCAATTTTTTTATTCATATGGTCAAAAATTTCTATTTACTGGGTTTTTCTAAACAGAATATATATTATTTATGAGAACTACCATAAGACAAATATATCATATAGGCTAAGTAGGAAGTATCATAGCAAAATGTTCATGTTACTTACAGGACTTCTTACAAGCAATTAGATTTTGTACAAGTAAATATTCTTCATCAGAATTTTATCATAGAAGATGCTATAAGGACAAAACTAAATATAAACTACAGAGCAATATGTTTTAACTAATGTAGTAATTGTATTAATATAATTATATTAATATGTCTATAATATATATTAGGTATTAATTGTTAGTATTGATTTGATTCGCATACAGATAATGTTCTAAAACTTAAAACACCTGAGAGTTTAAAGTTGTAGTACAACTACAAGACAAGGCTCTAATGAATGTCGCTAACTTTTCTAGAATCACTGGGATGACAGCCACACATTTCTGACTAGGAAAAAGAGCCCATCATATTTCTTCTTCATCAGAAATGTACCAGTGTAAAGATTACATGTGAAAACTCGGGCAATACATACCTCAAGGCTCAAACTAGCCATGCCTGGGATCCCAGATTGCTGAGGAAACACCTAAATGGAAATAAGAATAATTTTGAGCTCTCTTTGGTGTGAAATTTTCTTATGTGCACATTGGGAATACAAAGTCACCCCAGCACGTAAGGGCTAGCTGAGAGGTTTATTTTATTTTATTTTTTTTATTTATTTATTTTTTTTTCTTTTAGGCATTCCCAAACATTCTGTAAGCTGAGAGGTTTATTACCAATACTGTTTTATTACCCAAATGACTTGAGCTTTTGGGCAGAATGAAGAAGAATTTAAGTTACTTGGGAGAATTAACATAATATTTGACGATTTTGCTCCCACATGAATCATCTATCTTGTGCATCTTAATGCTATGTTGGTTTAAGAGCAAATTTGATTTAGTTTAAAGTTATATAAATTGCAATATAGATGGAAGAAAAGAAAAAAAAATAAAGTTATACACGATGAGAAGTAAAAAGAAGCAACAAAATGGAAAACAAAGAGTACTTTATATTCTTAAGAAAATTACAATAGAAAAAAGCCTAAGGGACAAACTTGAGCTGAACTGTCTTGTGCTTTTGACAAACCTACATGCTTTAGGTTCATAGATGTGGTGTGGATCATGGAATTCAGAAAAATTGTGTGCAAAGCCTAATTTGCCTCCTGTTCAAAGGGCTTTACCAAATTCTCTATTATCTTTAGTCAAAGCTTATTTTATGTATAAACTTGTAGATCCGTGTTTATATTTTTGCATCATAGTGTTCTAGTACTAAATACTATGATACTTAATGTGTTCATTTAAAAGTTGTTCAAAAATATAGCTATATTTACAACTAGCTTTTTAAAATGTAAGATATTTCCTATTTTAAACCAATCCTTATTAATATACACAAATGCCAGTGGACAAAATGGAAAATGGAAGAGTAGGAATTAGAGTAGATTGGATTTTGAGAGTCTTTGGTTTTTTGGAGACTCACACTATCTAGGGTCAGGGGGTTGTAATGCCTGTCTTCATTTATATCACAAATATTTATAGAATGTTTACTAAATGTATTGGGATTATTTTTCCTTTATGAGTAAGAAGTGCAGGAATTCTACCCTCCATTTTTTCATATAAGTAAAATCGCACCTTCTGAGTCACAGAGCAAAAAATTCAGTTCTCCAAATAATTCAGTTTTGGACATGAAGAGAGAGAAAGACTTTACAAATGTGTAGTTCACACTCTGGGTAGAGAAAGTGGTTAGCTACCTGAAGGGTAATATCGATAGGAAGGAAGAGCGATTGTGTGTGTGTGTGTGTGTGTGTGTGTATGTGTATGTGTGTGTCATGGGCAGATTGTTCGGAATTTGAGGAGATCCTGAGAACAGAGCCTTCTCTCTCTATCCCACTTCGTCAGTACAAGAATAATCTTGGGCAGATTCAACTATAAGGTGAAGTATACTTTGCTTTCCATCTATTCCAAGTCATGAGTTAAAGAGCAATATTTACATGAATGTAAATAGGTTACATTTCCCACATGGATTTAAAGGAGAAGAACATCTCATCTGATGAGTAGTCAGTTGACAATCATAAGCAATTGTCCTGCTCCTCAGAGTGGACCTGATGGTTCAGGTGTGGATCAGTATAGGTTCAAAGAGTGTCAAGGTGTTAGATTGCTGGGGAATGGCTAAGGCCAACCCCAATGTCAGTGCCATACAAAGGTAAGTGAGGGTGGTGGCCTCAATTTTCTTTCACTTAAAATTCATCTTGGGTAATGGGACAGAGACTCTAGTTGTGAATTGAAGGTTTTCATCCTTGTAATCAATTTTCATCCTCTTTTTCTAAAACATTTAATGTTAAGAAAACCAAGTCACTAATCTTTTCTCTCAAGGAATTAAAATATTCCAAAGTTTATTTGAGGACAACTGTGAACTCCTCAAGACAAGAGATCATGGCTTATATACCTTTGTGTCTCCAATGCCCAGCACCTTGCTAGGTAAGGTGGCAGCTGCCATACTCGTGTGATACTTGCTGAATGCACATAGCAGCTGAACGAAGTCTTTGTGATAACAGCTGCATGCCATTGGCTGGAGTGGTCCAGTGCTCAAAGGATTGTGTTTGTAGGAGGACATTTCAGTATAAGCCAAAGTGGATCAGATGTGGGCCTGTCACATACAACTAGCCCTATGGCCATGACATATCTTGAATTGAGAAACTTCAGCTCTCAGTTACACAATTTCACACCTCCAAGGTAGATTTGTTAGTTCATTACTAGCTTCAAATGAAATTACCTACCTCAGTTTTATAATCATGGTAATTTGGCTAACATTGTCCTTTTTAAAATGAAGAAAATGTGCTTTACTGTTTCAGAGAAATTTTTTCTTTCCATTTCCTAATGATAGTAAGGAGTTGATAATAAAATTGTGTGAATGAGTGGAATAAGATTAGAAATTATCTTTGGAATACTTCAAATATCTTTTTTTTTTTTTTGAGACAGAGTCTCACTTTGTTGCTCAGGCTAGAGTGAGTGCCATGGCATCAGCCTAGCTCACAGCAACCTCAAACTTCTGGGCTTAAGCGATCCTTCTTGCCTCAGCCTCCCGAATAGCTGGGACTATAGGCATGTGCCACCATGCCCGGCTAATTATTTCTATATATATTAGTTGGCCAATTAATTTCTTTCTCGCTCTTGCTCAGGCTGGTTTCGAACTCCTGACCTTGAGCAATCCGCCCGCCTCAGCCTCCCAGAGTGCTAGGATTATAGGCGCGAGCCACCTTGCCCAGCCTGTGACTATTCTTGTCTGGCCACTATTTTAAGGAGAGTTAGAGGACATTACTCACGGCCATTTCTTCTGAACTCATGATGCCAAGTCTGCCAGGGGCATTCTGGTCAAAAAGAAACATTGCGTCATATTATGAACCAGCTGCCTTCTATTCCTTTCTTATCTACTCAAGACAAAGTTATGTCATATAGTTTCCCATAAATCTTAATGTTACTGCTGTGTGTAGAGGCAGAGTAAATGGAGAGATGAGTCATTATCAAATAAATGTATCCAATGTGGACAATTCAGATCTAAAAATTATTTTCTCTTCAGGGTATGTGTGTGTCACCAGAGTTATCCAAACAGGAAATGTGTCTCCTGACTATTTAAAAGAATAGTTATTTGGAATCTCTTGTGTAAGGCCTGGATTTTATAATTTTAGCTCTTAAGATGGCATTTAATTAAAAATGATTTTTAAAAATAGAATATGGACTTACCAGTTGATTTGCTCCATAAGACATGTAAAACATTCCTGGGTAAAGCTAAATAAAACACGATAGTTACCACAAAATGCGTTTTCTAAGGGAAAAACTTTTAAGTAAATTGCAGTCAGAAAAGTGGCATTAAAAAAAAAACAACTTACTGGAGATTGTTTATTTTGTGTCATTGGTCCCCGAGCTATCAAACGGGCTATTTGGAATATCTTTAAATGGTAGAAAACAGAATAAGTAATTTACACACACACTCACACACACACACCACACACAATGCGCTCCTTCCTTCAACTATCGATATTACGTCTTCAGGTAGCTAACCGCTTCTTCTACCCCAGAGTGTATACTACAACTTTTAAAGTCTTTCTCTCTCTTCAATGTCCAAAACTGATTATTGGAGAACTGAATTTTGCTCCTGTGACTCAAAGGTGCGATTTTACTTATACTAAAAAATGGAGGGTAAATTCCTGCACTTCTTAACTCATAAAGGAAAAAATAAATCCAATACATTTATAAACATTCTATAAATTTGTGATATAAATTGAAACAGGATTACAACCCTGACCCTAGATGTGATCTCCAAAAACCAAAGACTCTCAAATCCAATCCTACTCTAATTCCTAACTCTTTCCATTTTCCATTTTGTCCACTGCATTTGTGTATACTTACTAAAGGTGGTTAAAAGAAATATTAACATTTTAAAAGCATTGTAAATATAGATATTTTTGAACAACTTTAAATGAACACATTAAGTACATAGTATTAGTATAATATATGATATAAACACGATTAAATTTATACATAAAATACTTTGACTAAGATAATAAGAATTTGGTAAAAGCCTTTGAACAGGAAGCAAATTAGGCTTGCACACAATTTTTTGAATTATGATCACACCACATCTAAATGAACCTAAAGCATGTAGTTTGTCAAAAGCAAAACAGTTCAGCTCAAGTTTGGTCCCTTTAGGCTTTTTCTTAAGAATATAAATATCTCTTTGTTCCATTTTGTTGCTTCTTTTACTTCTCATCGTTATAACTTTATTTTTTTTCTTTCTTGCATCTATATTGCAATTTATATAATTTAAGACTAAATCGAAGATTTTCTCAACTTAAACCAACATAAGCCATTAAGATGCACAAAAGATGATTCATGTGGGAGCAAATAATCAAATATTTATGTTAATTCTCCCCAAATAACTTAAATCTTTCTTCATTCTGCCCAAAAGCTTCAAGTCATTTTGGTAAATAAAACAGTATTGGTAATAGAACCTCTCAGCTTACAGAATGTTGGAATAAGCCTAAAAAAAAAAAAAAAAATAAAATAAATAAAATAAACCTCTCAGCTAGCCCCTTAACGTGCTGGGCTGAGACCTTGTTATTCCCAATGTGCACCATAAGAAAATTTCACACCAAAAGAAGCTCAAAATTATTCTATTCCCAATTTTAGGTGTTTCCTCAGCAATCTGGGATCCCAGCATGGCTAGTTTGGGAGCCCTTGAGGTAATTACTGCCCACTTTTCACATGTAATCTTTACACTGGTACATTTCTGATGAAAAAAATATGATGCTCTTTTTCCTAGTCAGAAATGTGTGGCTGTCATCCCAAGCTGATTCCTAGAAAGTTAGCGACATGCCATTAGAGCCTTGTCTTGTAGTGTATACAAACTTTAAACTCTCAGTGTTTTAAGTTTTTAGAACATTTAATCTGTAATGCAATCCAAATCAATACTAACAATACCTAATATATATTATAGACATGTTAAAGTAAATATATTAAATAACAATTACTACATTAGTTAAAACATATCCTCTGTAGTTTAATATTTTAGTTTGTGTCCTATAGCATCTTCTATGATAAAATTCTATGAAAGAATTTTACTTGGCGGGCGCTGCTGGCTCACGCCTGTAATCCATAGCTCTTGGGCCGAGGCGGCGATTGCTCAAGCAGGATCAAAACCACCTAAGCAAGAGCGAGACCCGCTCTACTATAAAGAAAAAGAAGATTAATTGGCCCAACTGAGTATATAAAAAAAAAAAAAAAAATTAGCCGGCATGGTGCGCATGCCCGTAGTCCCAGCTACGGAGGCTGAGGCAGAAGGATCGCAAGCCCAGAGTTTGAGGTTGCTGTGAGCTAGGCTGACCCACGGCACTCACTCTAGCGGAAACAAACGAAGACTCTGTCTCAAAAAAAAAAAAAAAAAAAAAAAGAATATTTACTGTACAAAATCTAATCTGTGTAAGAAGTCCTGCCAAGGTAACATGAACTATTTGTCTATATACTTCCTGCTTACCTATATGATATATATTTCTTATGTAGTTTCAATAAATAATATATATGTCTGTAGAAAAAACCCAGTAAATAGAAATTTGACCTATGAATAAAAAATGACAATTAGTAGAGCGAAAGAAATTTATGGATTATAAATTACAATTAAAAATTACAAAAGGTCTTATCGAAATATGTTCTGTATCAATGAATAATCAAGAAAATCAAGTATTACGATTGCTATGTCACATGAAGCTCTAATTTCATGGAGTTGTGGTTGGGGTTGTTGTTTTTTTTTCTCACAATTCTACTTTAAATTCACCAAAAGCAATCAAATCTCTTCTTTCATAAAAATACTGAAATTGTATCTTCTGTTGAACATGGGCATTGTCGGATAATCGATCCAGATACTTAAAATTCTCAATTTGTTTCTTATATTTTTGAGGGAATGTTGTTTGGGAAGGAGTGAGGAGTTGTTTTTCTTTTTGTCTTTTTTTCAAATTCTTTGAGTCTGAATTATAAAAGGCAAGTAAGTTAGTGGGGAGAAAGAGAGTAACAGAGCAATATCCAACAAATACATTTAATATTTCAGTTGAAAAGCTATAATTTCCCATGTTTCATGTACCATACTTAAATAAATACGTCTTTCTTTGTTAATTAAAAAAAAAAACAACATCATTATTGTATACCAATAGTAAACCAATAGACCCACATTTAACATTTACATTTCAGATGAAGATTGTGTGTTACCAACTGTTTTATTCAATTGATCCACCCCAAACTTGATTTAATGCACATGTTTAAAAAAACTCAGTTGTGTCAAAAGAATATCTGTGATAAGCAATTAAATCAACTTTGTTTTCTTGATAGACAATGCGAGACAGTTGGAAGATCGCAGCGATTGAACACACTTTTCTCAGGTACTCATAAATCCTCAGAAAGATATTTCTTATGCAGTATTATGGTGGTAGTGGTGTAATATTAGAACAGCATTGTCAATTCATTAAAATTTTTGTGAATAGGCGATATTGTAAAATATCGGAAAACAAATAAGTAATTGAAAGCCTCAAAAACAATATAAGATAGGGGAAAGGAAAAAATTAAATAATATTTAATTTCTCTTTAGTGAAAGAATCCTTCATTGCATTAATCCATTGATCGATATAATACCAAACACAAACGCTTGAAGAGCTAAATCTCAGAACAAGTTTATGGAATCATACGCAGTCATGCTTTAAATGGAAATGAAGTCTGTTGGAAGGCAGAGTGTGTTTACCTATCCATTTTTAAATTAACTAAAAAACATCGCTTCGCTTGCTTGCAATCTCTACCTCAATCTGTGGATTTTTTAGGAAAATGAAAGCCAAGTTTGATCCAATGTTAAGACATGACATGTCTTTTTTTCCTCCATGTCTTTTAGTTTTCTAAAAAGCATTGGCTTTGGGAAATCATTTAATTTCGTTTGGTGAATGGTCTCCTCCCACAGCATTCCTCTTCCCATGGATGAACCAAGGGAACATGAAACATCAACAAGTAAGTGAATCGCATCATTGCACCAAACGTCTTTGAAACTTCAGACTCTACAATCTTTCCCTATTTGCCTTCTCTAAATTGGAATATATTATGCAATAGACAAGTATAAGCAATTAACAAAAAATTATCCTCATACCAATATAAACCAAAGCCTAATTTGCCTCAATACTTAGTAAAATCTTTAAATTATCAAACCCATTTGTTATATTATTTCAAATAGGAGCAAAGATAGCCTGCAAAATATAGACACCTATATAAAGATATCAGCAATAACAATAGGTAATCAATTCCCAAAAATGGAAGCAAGCTATATCCTGGATAATTTCATTTTAATCCAGATTTCCTAAATAATTATTCAAAGACCAATTTCAAATGATGACAGACATCCCAGTTATAACATCAAGAACCCTACAGAATCATAATAAATCAATCAATCGTTAACTGTTATTTATTAGGTACCTAATAAAATATATAAACCAAATTGTGTTAAGTGAAGACATTGGAAAATGGCTCCAAGGGCATGAAGTTTCAGATCTCCTCTGGCTCAAGATACGACAAAGACACCATATGTCAAGGTGCTGACGTGTGAGTATAAGAACAAAGGTCATAGGTGTTGGAATGGGCAGTGCTTGAAGAGCTGAAGCAGAGACAAATGACTGTGAGACTTCCTGGCTAGTTTGGGCATTTGCAACCAATCCACAAGCAATAAGGACCCATTTACCACAAGTAACTTTAAAAGAAGATATAAAGTGTGTAGGCTTTACCAGGAAATTCTAATGCCATATGCCTTCCGTGGCAATAGCATTACCTACCAGGCCACATTTAGTGGACCATAAATAATGGTGACTATTTCTTCACACTTGATTGTTTCCAAAATGGACTCTATCATGCAAGAAT